TAGCATTGTAAGTCTGCAGACATACCGCTGTGCCATTGGGGGGGGGGGGCAGGATGGAGGCTCAAAACTGAACTTCATAAATAAGTCAAATACAGTTCAATAGTATTTATTATTTACAGTTTGAGCATGATACAAATTTAAGTGATGGGTAGATAATATACAAAATATTTATAGTAAATATATAGTAATAACAACGACATTTTTATAATAAACATAAATCGACAACGAATTATTTTTTGTTAAAAAGACAAGCATATATTTATGAAAGAACAGGCTGTAAGAACATGTCAATGAAAAATTATAAAATAATAGGTATATATGAAACGCTTAAAATTGCTGTTGTCAAAGTGGCACAGCTGAAAACATATGTTTCTGAATGAGATATCCAGTTTTTGAGTAATATTTTTTAATTTCTTTTAATCGAAGGCCTCCTTCAATCCAGCTGACTCGGGGCAATTGCACCCATTTTTTGCCCCCTTAATCCGGCCATGGCTGTCTCAAACAAGGGATGATTTTAACAAAGGATTACTGGTTACCAGAAACGTTTGGAACGTTGTCTAGCCGTGAGGTAGATGAGGTCAGGTGAGGAAGAGGTAGAGACAAGATGACCCCCGCACTTGTCCCAACCCACAGCAGGTCTTTACAGGCCAGAAGAGCCGTGACGCGAAGACAAGCTGCCTTATGTTGACGAATAATGTCGTCACAACCTAGAGATAGAGAGATTAGAGCTCGACAACTGATTTCATTGGCATTAAAAAATCCTATTTAAATAGCTCGCTATAATTTGAATTAGATTTGTTTTTCGATTTGATTGTAAACAATGTAACTAGCACCAAACCAATTTGCAGAATTCCTTGATATTAAACATAGGTAAATTAAAATATAATAAATCCTAACATATCGAACTAATTTAGTTTTAAAACTTATATTACCAACTTGTTTTCGGGGAATACATATTGCATGGTATTGAGTAGCTTTACGTTCTTGCCTGTTAAAACATTCATAGTAAAGAACTACCCAAGCAAATGTGTGAAATCACTCATTCCTGTGTAAAATACAAAGAGCACTCCTGCAGTAAATAATGAGATTAATTGTAACATCTTTGCTTTTTCGTTACATTTGTGTGTATGTGGTTTAAATGTTAATAGAGGACTCTGTAATCAACAAAACCATGGACCCACAAATAATTAGGTTCACAAACAGTTTTTAGAAAAAGTTGTGTAATACAACTGTTTGTTAATCATATAGATTCTCAGTAGCAGATTTGATCAGAGTTCTTAATGAAAGAGGGGTCTAACTATACACTATGAGTCAAAACAATGTCTGTGAATATACTGGTATTTTTGTCACCCAATAATGTAATCACTGTCTCACCGGCTAGCATCTTTGTGACAGCTGGAGCCACGTTCACATCCAGAAGATTTTCGTAGCTTGTTGCGTGGAAGAGTCTGAGGACTGCACTGTGCTCAATGGCAACCCACACACCCAACCCTGACGTCACCAAACAAAGTACTGCTCGAGAAGTGTCGCTACTCACTTGTAAACAGTGCTGTCAAAGAAATAATTCATTATTATCGGCCTAATTATTATTTAATCATCACAAACTGACCCAAAAATAAACATTGTTTCATTGATTCGTTAAATATTCATATTTAATTATCATGACTTTACTTTTCTAAACAAAAATAGTTAAAGTCAGTGTTTATATTTCAAACATTTGGTCCACCTCTTCTTCCAATGAGTTGGTGTTGAGAATTTTGATGTTATTCTGACACCCACACCAGAGTTTTCCAGCTACTGCCAGCATTCGAGACACAGAGGCTGAGACGCTTCCAATTTGGACGCGCTGAGGCTCACTGATGTTCCAACCTCCCTCTGGTTTACCAAAGAAACAAGATTTTTCTGATTCATTCCCATACAAACCACCAAATAACGTTCTACCCATAAAAATATTTACTTCAATTATAAAACAGTGCATTAGAAATATTCTGACAAGAGATTAACCTAATAATTTTTTAAAATATCATATATATATATATATATATATATTTACTAGTTTATACTACGATATTTTTATTCTTTGGAGGCAGCGGGGCGCAAACCACGAAACCATAGCTCCAAATTTCGGCACACTAACTACTGGGAAAATGTTCAAATGAACTATGGTAACGAAGTCAATCATCCAACAATACACTATGAAACATTATTTCAATTTTTGTTCCATAAGTGTATCTTGAATGATAAGCAGAGATTTAAGAGGGCATCTATTATAATCATTTAACGCCGTTTTATGTAATACAAGAAAGAAGTTGATATACATTCTTTTTCTCAAAGCATAATCTCAACTTATAAATACTTTTCTGTGGTTTTACTTCAAAGCTATGTTAAAAAAAATAAGCAGTCTGGTTAATTACAGCTTGTCAGTTTCAAGTAAATACAGAGCTAGGCATTGTTTCATTAGCATTGACGCTGTGGGAGTAAAATTCGTAATAGACTCATTCTTCTTCCCTTGGATGAGATTTTCTTCAGTTAAAAATTCAAACGTTAAGCGATTAGTTACGTTATTTTTGTTGAAAAAATGTCTATAACATCCTCATCCAGAAATATTACAGAACAAATATATAGTAAAATGTTTAAGAAATGTTCATCTACTTTAATCAAGGTCAGAAGTAAATTTACGAATACATCTCTACTGGAAAAACAACAGCATATATATACAGAGAGAATGGACCAAAGCTAGATATATACAGTTACATATGGACTTTTTCTTTTGGGGAGGACTCAAGTACAAAGTGTACAGGTAGGAAATTGCGGAATGTTGAAGAAATGAAAGGGTACATCACAGACACATTTACAGAATTTGATGGACAGACAGACTTGTATCAGAAAGTTTCTAGAAGTGTGACAGGCAGACCTCCAGGATTTTGTGAACAGTGATGGGCTTCAATTTGAACACCTGCGGGATTAACCATCCCATAATTCCATATCATGTGTAAAGTGACGTTAAATATAATACCAATTATCAACTGTATAATTTAATTACTTTGAACACATTATCAATTATTAACTGTATACCTACTTTTGGGCCACCCTGTATATATATATGCATACAAGTAGCAGGGACTATATGGTATTGGCTGAAATAGAATATTTATTTTAAATAAAAAAAATCATTAGTTAATATTACTTACTTGCACTCCGTCTGTACACATATAATTCACCATTGGCCAAAGACAAAAACACTCTGTTGTCGAAATAACTATAATAAAAAAGTGTCACTATTTTTATCTCGAAAACTAACAAAATGAAATTACCAAATAATGATCAATGTTACATTTAATAGAATTAAAAGTGAATCTTAGTATTTATTATAAGTATCACTGACATGTATCTACACAGCGTTGTGATAAAAAAAAAACGTTGCCTTACACACTTAAAATGTTTGCAAATATAATGGATATTTTAATTCGAGATCTCTTAAGTACACTAACTTCCTGCTAAGTATATAACTACACATACACATCAGTACATCAAAAATGTTTTTAATGGAAAATAACTAAAAACTTTTGTAAGAATTAAAACAAAAAATATGTTGGCAGCGTATTATCTGAAAACAAACTTACATGATGCACTGAGTAGTAGCAGTATGCTGGATTTTGCAGGGATTAAAACAAAAATCTGGTGGCAGCGTATAATCTGAAAACAAACTTACATGATGCACTGAGTAGTAGCAGTATGCTGGATTTTGTAAGAATTAAAAAAACCTGGTGGCTGTTGTTTGATATTAAACACAAAGCTACATAATGGGCTATCTGTGTTCTGTCCACCACAGGTATCAAATTCCGGTTTCTAGCATTGTAAGTCCGCAGACACACCTCTGTGCCACGGGGGCCAAAATCTGGTGGCAGCATATAATCTAAAGATAAACTTACATGATGCACTGGGTAGCAACAGTATGCTGGATTTTGTAAGAACTAAAACAAAAATCTGGTGGCAGCATATAATCTAAAAATAAACTTACATGTTGCACTGAGTTGCAGCAGTATGCTGGATTTTGTAAGGATTAAAACAAAAATCTGGTGGCAGTATAAAACCTGAAAATAAACTTACATGATGCACTGAGTTGCAGCAGTATGCTGGATTTTGTAAGGATTAAAACAAAAATCTGGTGGCAGTATAAAATCTGAAAATAAACTTACATGATGCACTGGGTAGCAGCAGTATGTTGGATTTTGATCTTGTTTTTCTTGATGCGGATGTTGTCTTTACAGTTGTAAATATGAATACTGTAAAAAAAAACGTTTATGACCGAGCAGAAAATTACAAAAACAGCAAATAATAAAACATAGTTAATTTATCAATTAACTTATAGAGATGGTTTCAATTTATTTATTTATTTGAAAGAAAATTGTAATTATATTTTTTACGTATAAACAGATTATGGATACTTTGAAAACTTAAAAGTATGAGAAATCATTCTTCAGACTTACTGCTGTGCCACTGGGTGTGGGGGGAGAGAAGAGGGTACTATACAATGGAAGAACGTTACAATAAACAACACAAGATTTTCGTACATTTAGTACAGACTCTGATGTTATCAACTAATTTCTTACACATAAAACTTCTGAACAGAGCTAAATTACTCACGTAATGACTTACAGCATTATAAAAAATAACATAAATGCATACATCTTTCGTGGACTAAACGTGTGAGCACTAGAGTTCGATTGGTTTTATTATTGAAACAAACGTCGATTTTCGCCAAGCGCAGAAGCAAAAACTAATGATATATTTCACCACTAGATGCCCTTACCAACCATCCTCTGTCCCTAACCACACAGTAGGTTGCTGGTTGTCTATCTCCTCTTTGACTTCTTCTTTCACTACTGGATTTCCTGTTGAAGAAATTTGCTTCGTGACTGGATCTTCTTCTGAACAATAAAATAAGCAAAGAGAAATTAGTAATTATGGAGTTAACAACAAATTCCAATCTGTAAAAAATTATCAAGACATTCCATTGCACTATATTTAAAATAACAACAGTTTACTTGCAAAATTTTAAAGTCAATACTAATTATTCTTTAATGTCCAAGAAGTCTACAGAATTTCATTGATGTTAACAGAATAGACTTCGTCAATATTAACGTTATAGTATGAGAATGAAATATCAAGGAAAGATCATTAGAAATATAAAGAAAATTCCTTAAATATTACAACTTATCTTAATTAAATGGTAGTAGAGACCTTTAATAATAACATGCTTCAATTTAGAACAAGAACGTGCGGTTTAACATCCCAGTGACCTATTTTTTTTAAGGCGAGAAAATAGACTCTAACTAAAATCCAAACTTTCAGTTTCATTTTTAAACAATCAATTATACAAAGTTTGACAAAAGTTTCCATCATTTCATAAGACACTTTCATACTGTTGTCTTAGACTATTTCAGTTTGTTTTTTACGTGCTTTTTAATATCAGAATTTTAAGTATTTATTTCCCCTATCGCAATTATATATTATGTACTTTTATTTTAACGCGCAGTTTGTTATATATTATTTTATGTTCATAATGAACAATTGGGTAATTCATTAAAAGCTGATAATTTTTAACCAGAATGTATTAACAATAGTACAAATCAGCTCATAACAACAACAGGAAAATCCGAAATGGCTATGTTGCAGTGAAGCTTAGACTTACCTTGGGATTCACCTACTTCCTCATCTTCATCACTAGAATCACTATAAAAATTCATAAAATTCAAAATGGACGTATCACACGATACTCTGGATCATACACAGTTATGTCTAGGGATAAACTGTTTATAATACGTAAAATAAAATTACTTAGTTTCATAAAACTAAACAATCACAATATCTTGTTTAAAATAGTAAACATTTACCAGGCATTACTGAATATCTATTTTAGTTTGCATGTTTTCAGTTGAGGGTTATTACTTTACCACAAAATTGAGTGAAACATAACTTACAACTCTGTTTAATATGCTACGCCTGTTTGTTTTTTTATTCCTGAAAACTCCCAGTGGAGCATAGGGCCGCAACAACACCTCGCCAACGGAAGGTGTTGTTGCAGTTACTTGTAGCAGGTTGGTTTTTACGGGGTGGAGTTGCTAGCCCCGCGCCCAACCCTCCTCCTTTCTCATCCTGGACTTGGGACCAGGCAAAGGCGATTCGAACCCGCGACCCTCAGATTACGAGTCGAGCGCCCTAACCACCTTGCCATGCCGGGCCCGCTACACCTGTTACCTCTGTTGAATCACAGCTTTTTTGCATTATAACACTGATATATTTTCAAGATAACATAAGACCAGTTCTTCAGAAAAAATGTTGTTTATCCACGCTTCTGGATTTTTTGTGCAAACACCTGATTTATGTTTCGCTACATTTTATTTCCTCAGAAGTGTCTCGATGTTGGTCTGTAGTCGTGAGTCATTCGTTTGTATATCAGTACAAAAAACATATGATGGAAATTTCATTTTACATTTCTAAAGCATTTGTGAAGGTATTGAAATATACTTACACTTATATTTATTAAAATTAAACAATTTTGACGACCCAGTGAAATACACTTTTCAGACATTTTCAGGATAGATAAAGTCAAAAGGAACACAGTACTATTTACATCCTTTGAATATCCTTAACATAACAACCCACATCTTGTTTAAACTCAAGCTTAAGTCTAGACAAACTATATCTCCTGTTAATGATAAGGTATGGCCACGGCACTTGGGATAGATAGTTTTCCTACCTGTCAAGTTGAAAGTTTCCATTGTTAGCATGCTGTTCATTCTCCTTCTCAGCATCATCATTGTCAATACTAACTATAGCATTATGCTCGACGAAGACGGATTTTCTTCTATTAGTGACATACCTATAAAATAAACTTATATGAATAAATGTGTTCAATTACTTTAATCACACAAGCTAGCTTTCTTTGTAGTCTATATGATGTAGATTGATAGTTTCCTATAGCAGTATCTATAATATTGTTATAACAGTTGCTATCGTAAGGTGAGTTCTTTTTGATTATTCAGTAAGGACTAGACCACTTAATGAAAGGGGGTCCGACATGGCCAGGTGGTTAGGGCACTCGACTCACAATCTGAGAGTCGCGGGTTCGAATCCCCGTCCCACCAAACATGCTCGCCCTTTCAGCAGTGGGGGCATTATAATGTGACGGTCAATCCCACTATTCGTTGGTAAAAGAGTAGCCCAAGAGTTGTTGGTGGGTGGTGATGACTAGCTGCCTTTCCTCTAGTCTTACACTGCTAAATTAGGGACGGCTAGCGCAGATAGCCCTTGTGTAGCTTTGCGCGAAATTCAAAAAACAAACAAACTTAAGGAAAGGAGTGTTTTATTTCATCATCTGAAAGGTTTACAGCTTACAAGGTTTCCTGAACTGAGAACACCTAATCGATAGGCCTAACTAACAAATAAAACTTAACAATCACTTACTTGTTAAACTTCCTCTCGTATTCATGACACAAACTCTAAACTGGTTAACATACAAACTGGTTAACTCAGTAATCGATTAACAATACCGTAACGAACACACTAAACGACTGACTGTGTAATTAACTATCTATGGCACAAACTCCAAACTGGTTAACATACACACTTGTTAACTCAGTAATCGATCAACAATATCTGAACCAGCCCACTAAATGACTGACTATCTACTTAACTATCTATGGCACAAACTCCAAACTGGTTAACATACACACTGGTTAACTCAGAAATCGATTAACAATACCGTAACCAACCTACTAAGTGACTTACTGTCTAATTAACTATCTATGGCACAAACTCCAAACTGGTTAACATACACAACTGTTAACTCAGTAATCGATCAACAACATCGTAACCAGCCCACTAAATGACTGACTATCTAATTAACTATCTATGGCACAAACTCCAAACTGGTTAACATACACACTTGTTAACTCAGTAATCGATCAACAACATCGTAACCAGCCCACTAAATGACTGACTATCTAATTAACTATCTATGGCACAAACTCCAAACTGGTTAACATACACACTGGTTAACTCAGTGATCTATGAATAATACCGTAACCGACCACTAAATGACCGACTATCTAATTAACTAATTAACAACAACGACGTTCTAGTTATTACAATATTGCTTCCCCAAGACTCTAGAAAATTCGAGACGTCACGTCAAATGTAAGTACTCAGGAAATTTCTAGGTGTCGGACATCATCATTACGTTATGCCAAAATTCCCTCTAGTAAACAATACGAATGTCTAAATTAAAATATTAAAAAGTAGTCCACGATAATATTTACTATGTTAAACATAATATACAGCAAAATCTGTTGAATGGACTACAAAATATAAAATACTGATAAAATCAGTACCGGAATAGTTAAAATTTGCACATAAAATATGGTGTATCAAACAAATTCAATTATTTTGGTCTTTTCGTTAGCATGACTTTTACATAAGAAATGTTTTAACAAACAAATAACTTTATAAATAAATTGTACCCTTAAGCTCAGTTCATTTGTATCGTTAAACAAAACTTTGTTTTTTTTTAGATACAGATTACTTCATTTGCATACTTATTTAACTGTTTATTAATATGCATGCCTGAGCAGCAAGCAACGTTATATAAAGTTCACCGCCAGGAGGCTGCAAGAAATGTCAAGGAACATATCAGTCCCTATCTCAATAATACTGGTCTTCATTGTATGAACACACTCATCACGATTTACCAGGAAATAATTCTTAATTGTAAAACCACAATTAATGTTCCCTCAGAAATTTGGAAACAATGACTTTAACCTAAAAAAAAGCCTGAATCAGATAATCGAAAAACTGCACTTCCAATAATGTTGCCTGAGCGAAAAAATGATCAATCTCTGGAAAAATAATTGTTATATTCGTTCCAACGGCAACTCGGAAATTACAAGTCCTGTAACAAATCGGGTTTAAATTGCCAGTTAGCAGTTTTTTTTTTTTGGTTTTTTTTGATACAATTTTATAATGCTCTTCAAGTTTAACCATTCCGTTACATAACTCCAAACAATGGTTACATATTCGTAAAAACGTAGTTCGAATTGTATTAGCACATTAACACTTACTACGGTGCAAAAGATTAATGCATCGTGTGTGGTTTTTGTTATTGTTGTTTATATGCAAATTTAAAACTATTATTTTTACTAACTGTGTTAGTTATGGAGTATTTTCATTTCAAGAGCGAGATCTAAAAGCAGCACGGTTTTTTTTTTTGAATAGCATTACATCTGAAGAAAGCACACTGTGTGAAAAATAAGCTTAAACATCGAAAACAGCAAATATTCATGGTTCGTCATCCAACACTGACGACTTTTTTAATATTTAAACCTGTGAATTTAGTTTAAAAATAAATTCAAGTCCAACTAAGGCATTTTGAAATATATTTAGTTTAAAGTTACAATAACAGTTAACACCTTATCTCAGAAATAATCATACAAAGATGAAACAAGTTCGTATATAACTTTGCAACCATAGGGAATATAGTCGTAATAGATGTAGTTTTTTGGTTTGTTTCGAATTTCGCGCAAAGCTACACGAGGGCTATCTGCACTAGCCGTCCCTAGTTTAGCAGTGAACGGTTAGAGGGAATGCAGCTAGTCATCACCGCCAACTCTTGGGCTACTGTTTTACTAACGAATTGTGGGATTGGCCGTCACATTATAAAGCTTCCACGGCTGAAATGGCGAGCAAGTCTGGTGGGAGGGAGATTCAAACCCGCAACCAGCAGTTTGCGAGTCGAGTGCTCTAACCACCCGGCTATACCAGGCCAATAGATGTTTACTTTTGGTAAATGGTCAAGATCACAGTCGAGATTATAATTATCTCTTTGAAAACAGACATGTTGTTATGAATGACTGTTTAAGTTTTAGTGATTTATTGCTGTTTAGCAGTTTAAACTCCGGAAGAATGCAAAATGACTGAATTATGATGGAATATTACGACTTCTAGCTAATAAAAAAACATATAACGTATTAATGATGCATTACTGCCTTATCGTAATGACACCAACTATGGAATTTTCAATAATATGCGCCCTTATTTGCTGCTATAGATGCAAATAAAACTTTTCATACACAAAAATATGTGGCCATACTCACATAGGATTGGCCGCTGGTATTGATGCTATGCACAAGATTCTGGCATTACACACACCATTACATGACGTCACTGTGGGCTCTGGCTGGAGACTAAGTATGCATACCTGTCCAACGTAGCCGTCACTGTTACATACCCAAACATCCTTCAACCCAAAATGGTTTAGGCCTAATGTCGGTGCCGCGCAAGTGAACTGAAAAAACAATAAATAAAATATCAGTTAATACCAATGTCTTTCTTTTTTTTTATGACAAAATTTGTAATTACTTAACATGCCAATTTAAAGCGTAAAAAGCTATTACGCAAGTAGTTCTTAACATCAATAATATTATTTGACAAAAACATCCATCGCTGAATTGTATCGTACTTTTCACAATGATACGGTTTATTAATTCATCTTGTAAATCAAAAACATAAGATAGAAACAGAATTTTCTCAGTTTTATTATACAAACCTGCAGCCCTGCCCTAGTCTTGCGAATTGGAACGGGATAGAGAAACTCTGGTGGCGGCCTTCTATCGATTGACAGTGCTATAAAAAAGAAAATTCAAACAGCTATCGATCTCAAAGTAATATTTAAAAAATGTCAAACCTAATGTTGGAAAAAGTAGTTAGAAATCTAGTCTATCTCTGCACCATCGTTACACAGCTCTTCCATTTATATTTACCGTTTTTCAATCCCGTAGAACAACATATCTACAATAGTTAACGATATCACTCAGAGTAGTTCTTAAAACTTCTGAAATCCCATCAGTTGACCGAGTGCAGTTGAAGTTGTCCTCCCCCCTCTCCCAAGAAAACATGTCTAATAAGCGAATGATTCAGATGGAAATTAGGCCCTTTAATACAACACTCGTACTTGATGGTATGTATACATGACAAAAATCTGAGTTGTGGTTAAAGATAATCTATAAAGAATATAAAATTTCAAAATAAAGTTACGTCTAAATCGTGGCCTAACTTTTAATACGTTTTGATGTAATACTATCTGAAGACAAAAAATACACTCTAGTACACTCTTTTGTTCTACTCATATTGTGTTTTCAATTTTAGAGGAGTTAGGCTAGGTACAAAAACTGAAACATAATATTTATATAAGAGATGTTCATTATTATTATTATCTAAGAGACGCCAAAAAGAGCAAAATTACTCATCGATCATAGATTAACGTGAAGACCACTAAGCGTCTTTAAATGATAAAAACAGAAAAAATCACGTGTTTGTAAAAATCCATTTAACAAATTTACTCTTAGCACGAATATACATTTAAATGCCGTTTCAGTTGTATATATACAAATATTTTTAAATGTTAAAAAAAATAATTAATTATGGTATTTATATCTCTTATTTCTCCATTCCCTAATCATTGAAATGAGAGAAATAGGGTAATTTTAATAATAGCTAACCTAATTTTTGCTTGGCTTCGTTAAAAGCAGCTTCCCAAGATAACTTTTTCTCTGGGGTCGGAAAGATGATGCATATGGTGTCCACTCCCTCCCTGTATACAAATCAAACAGGTAAATATAAATAAAAAATAGAGTAATTTAACTTATTACGAGATATGCATATAAATTTAAAATATTTTTGTCATGAAAACATTTATTTGTATCGATGTGTGTAATATTAATAGAAAGTATCCCAGTTAGTTCTACCGTCAAATCAAAATAAAATTAACTGACTCGACGCATCTTTGACATAAATCTTGCCCGAGTGAAAAAGATATAAGTTTAGTAACTAAAGTATCAAAAGTCGCTTACATTTCCGTCATAAAGAGAGATTTCTGGGAACTAAAGAACATACGACAAAAACTCGTTACGTCATTTTTTTTTAATATAAAAGTAAAGAACGTACTTAGGTTACAATAATACACATTGCGATAAGAAATAAGGTCAGTTCATTGAAATATAGAAACATTGTTTAGATGTCAAAATTATGAGTGTGAATTTAAAATAATAAATTCATCGAATGCTATTTATATTTACTAGATGGCGCCACAAACATTATTTGTGTTATATTGATCCGAAGATTAAATAGCCGGATGGCGAGTTAATTTTGCCAAATGTAAAATAATTTGTTTATTTGAAATGAGATTCTAATTTCTAAACATGATATTTTGTGTAAAGTTCTGAGTTATAATCTTAAACGTTAAGCGTTTGTGACGTTAAGTTTATGTGTTTTTGTCTGTATAACAAAATTTAATCACTGTGTATTTTGAAAGGATTGGGTGTCCATTAAGAACTGTCAAGTTCTCTTGTAGGTAATTGAGCATAGAGTCACCTAAAATACCTAAGTTAGGAAATACCTGAATAAGGTACATGTTCCTTACGTAGAGATACATACATGACGTTACAAAAAGACGTAGGTTCAAAAAATCAATTTAACAAAAAAATGCGATATCCTATATCCCGAGCGCTTTCGAAAGGTGTACATATTTTGTTCAGGGTTAAACTGGGAATGGCCATGTAAGGCAAAGTGTGAGATAAGGTGAAGTTTGAATGACGTCATGGAGGGCACCATAGAAATCCATAAGAATTGGGTTTTGGTACCCGCGGAGGAAAGATCGCAGAATGCCACTTTTGTAGCTTTACAAAAAAACTTTCAAAGACATTATGATTGTACGATTAAAATAACGGACTGGCTATATAAATATCCTTTAAAAGTGGGTGTTTCGGGTAAATACATGTAGGAACCAAGTCCTCTAAGCTGAAGAACTACATTCTTCTCAGGACGACCTTAAGTTCATATAGATATTTTGGTTTGGATTTTTAGATAAATGACTAACTTTAAAATATGATTCTTTCATTTGACGGTGTTCTAAACCAAACGAATGTATAGAAATATTTAAGGATCAGTGTTACACAGCAGCAGAATATATTAAGACCCCTAAGCTAAAGAGATTTCATGATTCTCAAGAAACTTATCTGAAAAAAACAAAAAAGTAAACTCTAAAACGTTTGTACATTTATACTTTTTAAAAGCTCTTCATTTGGCTCAGCGGTAAGTCTGGAGACATATAACGCTAAAAATTGGGCTTCTATACTCCCGGTTGCTATAGCAAAGATATCTTTTTATGTTGCTTAACAACAACAAAGAAAACAAAATCCTAATAATGTAAGGCTGACTGGAGCATAATGCAAATAATTGTGAATAAATGAAACGACCGTGAACAATGGTCTTAATTTGAATCATAAGAGTTCATTACAAATAATCCATACTCCCGATGAAGACGTAAAGCCAAAACGTTGAGCTAATAACAACAATTCTAAAGAATATCTGCAGTTGGCAGTTCTTTCGTTTATATTCGTGAGTTCATAAAAGTAGACAAACTTTCGGTTAATATAATGCACTAAATCCTAAAAATGTCTACATGAATATTAAGGCTTTCTTCCATATGTCTTCTTTTACCCACTTCTTTTTCGTTCATTAGTTTTATCGGCGAATCTTCCATTCACAAAGGAATTCGTAAATATTTAATGAAAAAAAAAATCAAAGAACAAAAACATCCTTTTATAGTAAGGCCTAAATTTCTTTTAAAACCTTTATTATTGGAACAATTCTGATGTTTCTTCTGACTTTCAATGGCTAGAATAATCTAAACATTAATCAACTTTGTCACTTTTTGTATTTTTCCATAACAACTTTAAAGACAATAGTGCGCGTGACTAATGGTGCAGTATTAAAACACTGTTATTGTTGTTTTTTTATAATTCCTTAAAAATAAATTCTCAACATTCCCACAAAGTCCACATACCGAAAACCCAAGAGTTTCAGCGTTTTTGTTAATGTAAAGTGTGTTATATATATGATAACAATATAACAAGTTATGAACAAAACATAAGCTACAACTTATGCAGACATCAACTAAAAATTTGATTAATTTTCCGAGACGAAAATAATCTTTGAAGGCTTTGTGTGTGTGTGTGTGTGATACGTATTTTTCTACGCTGTAAGATCCGGGTATTCCCGGCTGTGATTTCTGTAGGGTTATATTCTGGTTCATGTTATATATATATAATTCTTCGAGCACGGGAAGGTGTGCCCGAATGTTAAGTATTATCATCTTCGTGTTAGACTGTACGTAGTCTATTCTTGTTTTGGCGAGAGAATTTAAAATCCATTTCCTAGACTGTGATGTTTGTAATACAAAATAACTACTTTCTGAGTACTCTCATCTAGGTTGGAAATTATACACCGGTCTTCGTGGTAATTGGGTGAATGTCTATAATATTCAAGCTGTTAGTTCTAGTTAACATGACTCCGATACCACATCTGAAGGCATGAGGAACGTAAGGGTGACTAGCACCCTATATCTGAAGGTATGAGGAACGTAAAAATGTCTAGCAACCTATATCTGAAGGTACGAGGAACGTAAAAATGTCTAGCAACCTATATATGAAGGTATGAGGAACGTAAGGGTGACTAGCACCCTATATATGAAGGTATGAGGAACGTAAGGGTGACTAGCACCCTATATCTGAAGGCATGATGAACGTAAAAATGTCTAGCAACCTATATCTGAAGGTATGAGGAACGTAAAAATGTCTAGCAACCTATATCTGAAGGCACGAGGAACGTAAAAATGTCTAGCAACCTATATCTGAAGGCATGATGAACGTAAGGGTGACTAGTACCCGATATATGAAGGCATGAAAAACGTAAGGGTGACTAGTACCCGATATATGAAGGCATGAAAAACGTAAAGATGTCTAGCAACCTATATCTTAAGGTCACCTTTACGTTCCTCATGCTAGTCACCTTTACGTTCCTCATGCCTTAAGATATATGGTACTGGTCACCTTTACGTTCCTCATGCCTTCAGATATATGGTACTAGTCACCTTTACGTTCCTCATGCCTTCAGATATATGGTACTAGTCACCTTTACGTTCCTCATGTCTTCAGATATATAGTACTAGTACCATATATCTGAAGACCATGAGGAACGTAAAGGTGA